GAGACAGTGCGATTGGCACAGGACAGAGTGGAGTTTAGGGCTGTTGTACATAGGGTCGCTATGAGTCGCAAGCGACTTGACGGCACATAACAACAACAATCGTATTCTTTGAATGCCTACTTTGTACCAGGTACCCTTGTATTTTTACTTATATTATTTTTATTTCACCCTTTAAATAGCTGTAACAAAATCCCCCTGTCCCGTAGGTGTTTGAGTGAATTACAACTTATGACAAATCAATGTGCTGTGGAGTCGAACTACTGCAGAGGACTTTCTTAGCTACAATCCTTATGGGAACAGCTTTGTGAACCTTCCTTTCAGAGTACTGTGGAGTGGCAACCTTGAGATTAGTAACCAATTGCTAAACTAGGAATGTTTTGACTGTAGGATTAAAATGACAGCAACAAAACCAAAATCTCTGGTTCTCCCTGTCACATCTAGTTTGAGAATGAAGACCATTTTCAGCAACCAGGCTGGAGATTTTCCAGAAAATGTCCTTGCTCTGAAGTGGTGCGGTTATTATAAAAGGCCTTACAGGAAACTTACAGAGAGACTTCAACACTTCAATGTAGAACTTAGTCACCTGGGAAAGACAAAAAAGAAGAATGAGACCTAATGAACAAGAGTTCTGAATACTGTCCTGTCCTGTGCCATCCTCATCATCTTTGACACATTTAAGCCCATTGCTGCAATCACTATGTCAATCCATCTCTTGGAGGGAGGAGGTGTCTCTTCTTCTCTCCCCCCTTCCCTCTATCTCACCCCTCTAAATTTGAACTATTTTCACCTATCTTGAGGGAATTCTGGTGGCTTAGTGGTAAGGAGTTGTAATGCCAACTTGAAAGTATGCAGTTTGAATCCTCCAGCTGCTGTGTTGGAGAAAGATGGACAATCTCCCAAGTAACTTACCTCCTCTAAACATCAGCTATGGGTGTTTCAGCTTTGATGGTACATAATAACAACTACCCATGTATGAGTTGGCAGTGCAATTCCTTACCCACTAGGGCCACCAGAGCTCCTTGATATTTTCAATTCTCTTTGCCCGCATCACAATTCAAAGGCATCAATTCTTTGGTCTCCCAGTGTTTCTACTGGCCAGCTTCCACATGTGTATAAGGAACTACAAAACATGGACTTTTTGGAGGGTAAGGGGCTTCTGACATTGGTTTTCTTAAATTTCATTTTTTAAAGACTTTTTAAAAAAGATTATGAAAAGGTTACATTCTATACTAAATAAATTAGCTCTTTTAAGGAAAAAAAAACAAGACGTGAAACTTAGAGATAGATACCAATAGATTGGAACTTAATTAACGTCAAGAAAACAAAGATTCTCATCACTGGGCCAATTGGCAGCACCATGATGGATGGAGAAGAGATTCAGATTGTTAACAATTTCAGCTTGCTCAGTTCCACAATCAACACACTTGGCACCAGCAGTCAGGGAATCAAAAGACAAATCTGCTGTCAGGGACCTCCTCAGAGTACAGAAGAGCAATGGTGTCAGTCTAGAGACTAAGGTGTGCCTGATCCAAGCCATGGTTTTTGCAATTACTTGCTATGCATCAGAGCTGGATAATGACTAAGGGTGACAGAAGAAGAATCGATGTCTTTCAGTTGTGATGCTGATGAATAGTATTGGACATACCATGGACTTCCAAAAGAACAAAACAGGTCTATCCTGGAGAGGGTAAAACTGAGCTGCTCCTTGGAGGCAAGGGTTTTGGAGTTCTGTCTTACATATTTTGGGCATATACTCTGGGACCAGTCCTTTGGAGAAGGACATCGTGCTTGAAAGGGTGGAGGGCCCTCGCAGGAGAGGAAGAAGACCCAGGACAAGATGGATTGACCCAGTGACTGGGGTAATGAGGTTAAGTGTGTCAGAGGTGGTGAAATTGGCTCAGGATACAGCAGAGTTAAGAGCTATTAGGTATAGGACCTCTAAGCATTGGCATCTACTGGATGGTACATAACAACAACAACAACATTGTATAACTGATTCTGTGACTAATTAGCACCCCTGAAGAAAACTCAAAACACCCCAAGTTAAGCATTGGATTTGTGTGGAGTTTTGTAAAGGAGACGGACTAGCCCTAGAAGATCTCGAACAGGTGTTCAGCTGCACAGCTGTTGTTGTTGTTATGTGCCGTGGAGTCGCTTGCGACTCATAGCAACCCTATGTACAACAGCCCTAAACCCTGCTCTATCCTGTGCCAATCTCATTGCCTCTGACACATCCATCCCAATTACCCCAGTCACTGAATCAATCCACCTCATAGAGGGTCTTCCCCTCATGTGCTGTCCCTCCACTCTGCCCAGCATGATGTCCCTCTCCAGAGACCTGTCTCTCCTTACAACATGTCCAGAGTATGTCAGGCGAAGCCCCAGAATCCTTGCCTCCAAGGAGCAGCCTGGTTTAACCCTCTCTAGGATGAATTTATTTGTTTTC